GGTTCTGTTGGGTTCCACCAATGACCAAGGGGAGCCTCCTGTCCCTAGATAGACATCAGAGACTGGCAGAGTTCTGGTTGGTTCTGTTGGGTTCCGCCAATGACCAAGGGGAGCCTCCTGTCCCCAGATAGTGGAGGCTATCAACTCTCTGCCAGCGCCTCAGAAGGAGTCCCATTGGAGCTATTATGGGTCACTGACATCCCAACATGAATGGAAACTCAAGAACAGGATTTAATGGGGGCAACGCTAGAGCAGGTCCATGGAAACAAGGAATGAGGAACCCACCACCAGTATCATAATTCTTTCAGGGGCCCACTCTACTCCAAATGAAGAGTCCTTGTGCCTCCAGAAATCACAGCACCACAACTCTTTGCCTTATGGGTGCCCTGAGCCAGGTCTTGACCATCTGAGGGCCTCAGGCTGGACCTGGATTCCCAAGGGTGGGCTGGGAGCTGGAGAAGGAGTGAGAGGGGTGTTGCGAAGGGTCTGGAGGTCACAGATGTGACATAAAGCCCACCTGCAGTTATCACAGGGAGGTCCCCATGGCAGAGGAGGGGAGTCTCGTGGTATCCTCTGCTCTGTGCATGGGGGAGAGCTCTCTCTTGTCCTGAGGATACAGACCAAAATTGATCCCAGAGAGGCCTTCCATGAGGGGTGTTACCCATGTACACTCCAATGGTCAATTCCATTGGCTGTATCTACTTGAGAAGGACAAGACAATGGCGGTGAGGATGAGAGCCACAGAAACGAAGGAAGCACAAAGCTGGTTCCCTGAACCTACTTCCACCTACCCCTACCCTACCACCTCCCAGCCTCTCCCAATGGACTTTGATCTTTGAAGTTCTTCAACAAAGACAACAGTTTTCATTCCACAACTGGCCATCAACGGTAAGAGAAGACACCTTCCTTGATTTATATTCTCACAAGGACTAGTCCTTGTCCCTCCCCACTGGGGAGGGCGTTGGGGGCTGGGGACGGGGGCAGCACAAAAGCACCATCTGCCTGCAGGGGGCACTGGAGCTTCACAAAGGTGGAGGCGGAGGTGTCCTTGCAAACTGTCCCCAAGGACCGAAACCTTAGACAGCAGACGGAGCCCAGGGTCAGCCCTTGAGCCAAACAGATAACAGTCAGCCACAGAAGGTTGGTCATTCAGTCACTGCTGGCTGGATGAGGCCATGGCCCTTTCAGAGACGGTTCCCATTTTCCCATCAGCACCTTGAAAGCAAGGCTGAGGCTAGGCTCAGCACTGCTAGGGGGCAGAGACAGAGGGGAATTTGAAGTACCCATAAGTTAAGCATTGCCCTAGCTGCCCAGTGATTGCAACTTCAAATAGCCCCTCTTCCAGGAAGCCATGCCCATTAGTTTACCCTCAATTTCTCTCCGAGCTTGATGAAAACTATGCTTCTTACCACTCTGCATGTGAGCAGTGTACTTTGTGGCTCTCAGCATATAACACTCCTATTCCTGCCTCACTCTGACCCTCAAGCTGTCTGTGCATCCACCAGCCCATTCCATCTCACAGTGGCCTATGGAAAGAGCCAAGTGGACTTCCTTCGTAGAGATGGGTGAAGGCAGAGGCACCAGGGGCTCTCACTCATATCCTTCTAAGTCCTGGGGTCAAACTGTGATGTCCCTGGGTGGTGCAAATGGTTAAGCTCTCGGCTGCTAACCAAAAGGTTGGTGGATCAAGTCCACCTAGAGGAGCTTCAGAAGAAAGCCCTGGCAAGCTACTTCTGAAAAATCAGCCATTGAAAACCCTTTGAAACCCAGTTCTACTCTGACACACATGGGGTCATCAGTAACTGGTTTGGTTTATGGGGGGTGATCTGTGCCAAGTACAGAGGCTGGCACACACAGCCAATACTGAGGATGTTATGGGCTGGATTTAAACCTTGGTTTCTCCATATTCTCGCCCGGCACCCTCTCCGCTATCTCAGGGTCAGGTTGATGGTGACCTTTACCATTATCATCACACTCCTGTCCCCTGGCTGGGCTTTGAGCTCCTGAGGGCAAGGATGGTGGATTCCTGCTCACCCTGCATCCCAGCGCCAGGCAAGCCTGGTCCTGGGCTTGCCCAGTTTGGGCTAACAAGGGGCCTCCAACAGGAGTGTTACCTGCTGTTTCTGAAGAAGCTGGCTGGAGAGCTTTGCATGGGTCCCGTCCCTCGTGTGGATGAGGGTGGCAGCCTCCTCTCAGCACCCAGTGTGGTTTGCACAGTCTGCTGGCTCTCGGCTGAGCACGGCTCTGCAAGAACGCCCCTTTGTACCTGCGGGCAGAGAAGTACACATGGGGTCAGCAGCCCGAAAGGACGAGCCAGGAGCTAAGACCTACAAAAACCTAAAGAGGTGACACTCAGATGACACAACCCTCAGACGAGAACTCGGAGCTCAACCTCTAACTAGCTGGGCGACTCCAGGAAATTACTTATCCCCTCAGGCAGCAACCCCCACTATGACATGGGGAGATATTAACAGGACCAACTCATGAGCTTCTCATAGGGACTAAATGAGCTAGTGCTTATAAAATACTTCCCACACTGCTTAGCACATGCTGTTGTTGTGTGCTTAGCACATACTAGGTGTTTAATAAATGACCCAGTTCCACTTGCCATCAAGTTGATTCTGACTCATGACAACCCCATGTGTGTCAGAGTAGAACTAAGCTCCATAGGGTCTCCAAATGGCTGAGATTTCAGACGTAGATCACCAGGTCTTTCTTCTGAGGAGACTCTGGGTGGACTTGAACCTCCAACGTTTTGGTTAGCAGCTGAGTGCATTCACCCTGTGCACCACCCAAGGGCTCCTTAATAAATATAGTTGCTTTAATTGAATACTGAATTACATAGTCTTGGTGACTTAATAAACAGACTGTCCATTAGAACTTTCCAAGTGATGGAGACGCCCTATGCTCTCCATGTCCAGCACAGCAGTCACTAGCCATATGGTACTGGGCACTTGAAATAGAATTAGTATGTCTGAGAAACTGAGCTTTGAATTGGATTTAATTTTAGTTAATTTAAATAGCCACATGTGGCTAGCAGTGACCGGACTGGACAGCACAGGCCTCGAGGAACTTCTTCAAAAAGTGAGCATCACAAGTTCCACCTGGATGAGCCCTCCGAATCATCTGGCCTCATCGTCTCCAAAGTGGAGACGTCACACCCCAGGGGGAAGACAAGAAAGGGTGGAAAAAGAAAAATATTACAACTTCCATTTATGTTTCATCTAGACTTTCTTATTTCTGTGGTGATGTGCACTTTATAATGTACACAAAATATTAGCAGAGTAGAACATACGTAGGGAGACCAGCAGAACTAGATGGTGCCCAGCTTCCACTCCCAGCCATTCGGATCAGGGCCGCAATTGATGGACCCTGACATAATGGGACAAAAACACACAACAGAACTCAAATTCTTAAAAATCCAGACTTCCTGGACCAGTTGAGACTAAAGGACTCCCTGAGACCTATTGCCCTGAGATACTCTTTAAACCTTGAACTGAAACTAGCCCCTGAGGTCAGGTTTTAGTGAAATAACAGATTGGCACACAGAATAAAGAATATCACCCATGAGTACAGTGCTCCAGTAAAAAACCATCATGAGAAACCTGTACATAAACGAAGAAGCAGTCATTCAAACAGGACAAGGGGATGCTGCGTGGTCTAAAATCAGGAAAGGTGTGCATCAGGGTTGTATCCTTTCACCATAATTATTCAGCCTGTATGCTGGCAAATAATCCAAGAAGCTAGACTATATGAAAAAGAATGGGGTATCAGGATTGGAGGAAGACACATTAACAACTTGGCAATATGCAGATGACACAACATTGCTTCCTAAAAGCAAAGAAGACTTGAAGCACTTACTGATGAGGATCAAAGCCCACAGCCTTCAGTATGGACTACACCTCAACATAAAGAAAACAAAAATCCTCACAACTGGACCAATAAGCAGCTTCATGATAAAAGGAGAAAAGATTGAAGTTGTCAAGGATTTCATTTTACTTGGATCCACAATCAACACCCATGGAAGCAGCAGTCAAGAAATAAAATGACGCATTGCATTGGGCAAATCTGCTGCAAAAGACCTCTTTAAAGTAAAAAAAAAAAAAAAAAAGATGTCACTTTAAGGACTAAGATACGCCTGACCCAAGCCATGGTATTTTCAATCGCCTCATATGCATGCAAAAGCTGAACAATAAATAAAGAAGATCAAAGAACTGATGCTTTTGAATTATGGTGTTGATGAAGAATATTGAATATACCATGGACTGCCAGAAGAATGAACAAATCTGTCTTGGAAGAAGTACAGCCAGAATGCTCCTTAGAAGCAAGGATGGAAAGACTTCATCTCACATTCTTTAGACAAGTTATCAGGAGGGACCAGTCCCTGGAGAAGGACATCATGCTTGGTAAAGTAGAGGGTCATCAAAAAAGAGGAAGACCTTCAACAAGATGGATTGACACAGTGGCTGCAACAATGGGCTCAAGCATAACAACGATTGTCAGGATGGCACAGGACTGGGTAGTATTTCGTTCTGTTGTACACTGGGTTGCTATGAGTGGGAACCAACTTGATGGCACCTAACAACAACAACATATTAAACCGAAAGGTCAACAATTACTCTAAAGCAAAGATGAGGAGATAAGGGGGCAAGGAGTACTGGAAATGGAACAACCAGAACATAAATAAAGAGAAGGTTGACACATTGTGAAAAATGTAACTAACGTCACTGAACAATTTGTGTAGAAACTGTCAAATGGGAACCTTATTTGCTGTGTAAACTTTCACTGAAAACACAATAAAATATTATTTTAAAAAAAGAAGAACATATGTATGATTTCTAAATGAACAAATATGCATGTATTAGGGGGCATGCGCCAAGTATTTTATTGATGTTGTTATTGTGGGGTGTCATTGAGTTGATTTCAACTCATAGCGACCACATGCGATGGAATAGGACTGCCCCATAGAGTTTTCTAGGTTGTAATCTTTACGGGAGCAGATCACCAGGTCTTTCTCCCGAGGAGCTGCTAGTGGGTTTGAACTGCCAGTCTTTCCGTGAGCAGCCCAGCACTGCATGTGCACAGACCCATGACCTGGTCTAGCGCCCCCATTTTGCAGGTCAAAGTACTGAGACGCACAGCAGCTGCAGCACGCCCTAAAACACCCAGAATGTGCAGCCGGGTGGGAACTGGACTTGAAATCGAGTGCTTGGTACCATTTTGATAGAGGCTGCCATCAGAGGCCCAAGATCTCTGCACTGCTTCCATGGCATGGCATAGCAACAGACCCCCTTCCCTTACAAGCCTCTGTTTCTGAGAACTCTGCTACCATGAAGCTCTTCTGAGCCACCCAGTGCAGGAAGCAGGTGAAGATATCTACGTGACCATTTGTCTGAGCCACTGTTCCTAACCACCGGGCCGCTCGCAGAATTTCAAATAAGCCCTGCACATTGCAGCATCCACGTGGTGGTCTGTCTTTCCTGGCGGTGACAATGTTTGGGAGTGGCTCCAGTCACAAGGGTGCCTCCTCTACCCTGGAAAGGAGCTGTTACCTCCCTGCTTGTTAAGACCACAGGCTCCAAAAGAGCTATCTGAGCCAGGGTTTGGGAGATGGGGCTGCTAATCACAAACCCCTGCACCAGTGGGGCTCCTGCTGGGCCCGGGCAGTGTGTGATTTCCAAGTGCAGGGACAAAGGGGCAAGGTGAGACAACAGGAGAGAATTCTGCTTCTCTGCTCTGTGAGTCACCTTTGCCTCAAGTCAGCGGGTTATGCCACACGCTTGCAGGTGTCGAGATTGGCACAGTTTGAGCTGCAGGGAGATTTTGCTTCCAGAAATGGAGAGTGGCTGACTCCACTCAGTCAGATAAAGAGGAGGCTGCTGGGCCAGTCCCACTAAGGTGAGCCCATGGACCTTACCATTGTCATCTAGGCAATGCTTTGTTGAGTCATGGCAGGATCTGCTTCTTTCTCTCTTGAGAGCTTCCAACTCACTCTGTATGGTGGCAGCAGCACCCTGGGAGCTAAGCCCCAGGGTCAGGCAGGGCTTGTAAGCTTGCCCCCATCACCAGTCCATGCAGTGGCGGTCCAGACCACCTTTCCTAGGCAGGCTGGGGTGTGGGCAAAAACGACTCACATCACCCCTTCTCACCCTTCTACGAGATTACCCCTGGCTGATGGAGCTGCGGTGTTGGAGAGGCATAGGGGCCCCCCACCCCCTGCCAGGGGCTCTTCCCCATCACTGATGTTGCAGGTGCCACAGCTCAGCCCCTTGACCTTGAGCAGGACAAGCTGGATGGGACAGTTCACACTTCAGAGCTCCCCGTGGGAGCAGGCTGAGTCTGCACAGTGGACCTGACATCTTTGCTTGGCTTCTTCCCCGCCCTGGTCGGCCTCCCTCACGTCTTTATGCACCTCCCAAGAGCCCTCCCTCCATGAGTCTCTTGTACACAATCCTTGTCTCAGGCTCTGCCTCGAGGGAACCTCCCCTGAGACATCCCATTTGAGTGTCATTTTCCCCTTCTTCTGCTCTTCCCACTCCAATTCCTCTGTTTGCCCTGGAGACACCCACTCGAGTGGGTTTGATAAACATCCTTAAATAGCATGCATCCTTATGAATATGTAGGGCTGTGTTGGTTTGTGACATTGTACTGCAGATCTCAATCTTTCCCTCACTTTATATTTACTCAGGGTTGTTTTTAACATCTATCCAGGCATGTACATCTCATTTGCTGTGTTTAGCTGGCCTAGATAGTGATTTGGGTCCCCGGGTGGTGCAAACGGTTTGCGCTCAACTACTAACCTAAAGGTTGGCAGTTCGATCCTACCCAGCAGTGCCATGAACGAAAAGCCTGGCAATCTGCTTCTGTAAAGATTAGAGCTAAGAAAACCTTACGGAGTATAGTTCTACTCTGTCACACATAGGGTGGCCGGGAGTCAGAATCAACTCAATAACAACAGGTTTAGTTTTTTTGGTTTTATATAGTGAATTAATTTTTTTTTAATTGACTTCCATTCAAGGTTCAGATTTTAAATCCACCTCCTGCTCTCTCTTGCTCTCTCTATAGATTATGGACACTTGTGTGAGACCGTCACGATACATTTGTTGATAGGCTTCATGGACGACCCATCAGAAAAAAGCCTTCTTACCCCATGCTAGGAGCCCTGGTGGAACAGCGGTTAAGCACTCAGCTGCTAACTAGTCGATAGTTCAAACCACCAGCCCCTCCATGGGAGAAAGATGGGGCAGTCTGCTCCCGTAAAGATTT